CAGGAAAGCTGACGTTTCAGGCCTAGACCCTTTGTCAGCTTTCCTGCTCCTCTGATGCTGCTTGGCCTGCTGTGCTCATCCAGCTCTACACCTTGTTATCACCAATGTTTGGCTGTTTTGTTTGAAAATACGTGTTCCTTTTGTTGATAAAAAATACAAACAGGGCTGTGTAAATAAAATCTGTAAAAAGGGTTTCTGCAGCTTCAAGTGCTCCTTTATACAACAGTTTCTTCTTTAATAAAGTGTGGAGCTGAATGAACACAGCAGGCCAGGCAGTATCAGAGGAGCAGGAAAGTTGACATTTCGTGTCTGGACCCTTCCGTCAGCTTTCCTGCTCCCCTGATGCTGCCTGGCTTGCTGTGTTCATCCAGCTCCACACCTTGTTATCTCAGACTCCAGCATCGGCAGTTCCTACTATCTCTGAGCTTCTTCTTTATACTCATACAAGTTAGATGGGTAGAGCACACAATGTAATTCTATGTAAAACAGGAAATCAAATAAAGACATATTTAAATCTACTTTCATATGATAATGATACTTATTTCAGGCTTTCAGAAGACCTCGCCCAGTGCCAAGCCAATAGGCAGCAGTTTAAGTATCAGGCATGCCTAACTGTTTGAATTTGACCAATCCCACTGAGGTTATTTCTGCAACAGAGACAACAATAAAAGTGATGTGAGGATCTTCTGACTCATCAACGCCCCAAAGAAAGATTCTTTTTCCAAAAGAAACCAGGGTTCTCTTAAAGAAACAAAGAAACAAATACATCCTTGCCCCATTAAAACAAAATGGAAAACCATTAAGCAGATGTCACCTTAAACTTAAACTGAAAGAGTTTCTGGATTTCTCGGTATTATGAATGTTGAACTATTATTAGTGTCTTAAAGATGTGGAGGTGCCACTGTTGGACTGAGGTGGACAAGGTCAGAAGTCACATGACACCAGGTTATAGTCCAACATTTTATTTGAAATCACCAGCTTTCGGAGCAATGCCCCTTCATCAGGTGACGTCTGTATCTTAATCTCAGCTGCTGCACTGTGGGAGTTGTCACTTTACAGTTGAAATGTGGAACTGAGAACTATCTGTCTGTTTGGGTGGATGCATAAGATTCCACAGGACTATTTCAGATTGGGCAGTGGAGCCTTCGCTGGTGGATCCTGAGCAATATTTGGCTGTTTTCCCATACCACTTAAAGTGTTTAACAGGTTGTTCTGACATTGCCATTTACAGCACCTTACGGTGCACAAATTAATTGCTGCACTGTTTTGCTGTGCCGCAACAGTGACTGAAGTTCAAAAGTGCTCGACTGGCTGCGACAGTTAAGGCCTATTGAGGCTGTGGAATGTAAGTGGAAGTAAATTTTGTCATGGAAATTTCCAACCGCCCACGACAAAAGTTATTCTCAGCAGTCCGTTTGGGATTGTTGATGGAATATGGGGGAGCTGGCATGCAAAATCGCTTAAAATAATCCTCCCTTCCCACCACCTTTCAAGGCCCATTTATGGATGTCTGCCTTCTACAATCTGTGTTCATTTGTTTGCTTTCTGGTCTGCCTACTCTGGAACACGCATACAGCCTTTTCCTGTTGAAGAGGGTCAGCAATTCAAAACAATGCAGCCAAGCCTCACAAATCACGTCGATCAGTTCTCTGCACTGAATGTCTGCTTTTTGACACATTTCATTTGTTTTGCAGCGGATTCCCTGCCCAAAATCCTGTGGCCTGGTTTTCTCCTGAGAGGCCCAGCATATCCCCAGGACCCAGCTGAGGACAGAATGATATTCAGCCAGAAGTCCAGTGCTGAAGTTGGAAGGTTTGCCAACACTGATTGATCTTATACTTGGAGGTTTCAGCACGTGACTAACTGACACACATGATCAAACTATCTTCATACCCCATCCCCAATACTTTTATAACTAGCGCCATGGCCATAAGTCAGAACCATAAATTACTGCGGACATTTTAAACTGTAATTCCAAAATGTGTTTTTTTCAAAGGGTTGACACAACCAGAACTGGATGCAGATATAATTAAGTAGCTGACTGAGAGACAAAGAAAGAGAGACCCATGGAACCCTCAGATGCAAAGGGAATTTCAAACAACAGCCATCCAGAGGTGTTGAGAGGTCTACCGGCACTAAAAACAGTGCCACCTACTTACTTCTCATCAAGTCTCTTCGTTATCTCATTCCAGGAGAAAACTTACCCAACAGTGCGGAGAAAACTGAGATGAGTGTTGGGGTGCCTACTATTTGACTCCTCACCCCCTTAGAGGAGAGGATCCCAGCCTTAGCAGGAGAAGATAGAGACTGTTCATATGGTGATGGTTGTCCTGGCATCCAGTATGAACCATTGTTTCCCATTACACCCACTGTGAATATGCTCTTACCATGCTCAAATATCTACCCCTATTTCATTAATCATTCCCTCTCTTGCCTCTTGCAGGTACCAGTGTCACATATACAGTCTCCGCCCTGAAGAAGTCAAGACATCTCCTCCTCCACCTCAGAATAAGGAAGTACAGTCCCCTCAGAGGAAGCACCAGCGAGGCTGCTCCTGCACCCTCCCTCAGCTCAGATTGTGGTATCTTGGTGGGTACATTAGCCATTGTTATAAAGCGGAAGTTGACCTCCCTCTGAGAACTGAAACTGAAAAACCCAAAGAGGAGCACCTCACCCCATAATCTATTAAAAAGGAGTGTGAAAAGTGGTGTGACCTGCCTTTTAGAAACTTCAAATGGTTAAATAAAATAAATCCCTGACACTCACTTTACAATCAACAAGTAACAATTTATTTATCTAACTCTAACAGTGAACAAATTAACTAAACTGTTAACAAACTTAATAAACCCCCTTCTAGCTACTAACTAGTCCCAAATAAAATAAGAGTCAAATGGTAGCTGTTCCAATAAATACAAGTCTCACTTATAGAATATTTAAAAAGTAGTATTTTCTATTTTCTTCAGAATGTTCTGTGCCTTCTTCATCGATTCTTCTGTCAGGAATATTAACTAGTTGTGCCCTTGGTACCTTTGATTTAGATGGTACTTTCTCTAAGACTTAGAGAAGAGTTTGAGAGCCAGTGATTTTCTCTTGACAGTTGAGAGCTGTTAACTCTGGCAGATGGTAGTTGGTTCTCCTGTCTTTGCCCAACAGCTATTTCTTTTATACCCTTGATGACATATCAATTTCTTACTATAAGATTGGTCCTATGTTGTCAAAACCATCAGATTTAAATTTAATTGGTTTTTGGTATCTGAGTGCCTGGTTCAAACTGATTGGCTAAATTCAAAACTTATTGTCTTGGTAAAACTGCTACTTTTAGCCTGCTAACTGTACAGATTTTTGATATAAATGTTTCAATTCTAGTGTTCTCTGTGCATCTGAAAACCCAAAAGCTGCTGCTCACATACATTTTGTTTTGAATCTCTAAGCATAGAAAAAGCACATCATCCTTTAAAGGGACAATGCACTGCTTTCCCCCCCAGGAATTTTACAAACAAGGAGTTCTAACTTCCTGCCTCCCAATCCACAAGTACTCTACCCAACCTCGCAACACTAGAGAACAGTCAGGCACAGTTTAATGAGCACAGCACTGCCACATCTCTGCTGGTGGTTGAGGAAGAAACACCCAGGTCACTGACACTCCTGGAGACTGGCCAACAGTCCAGACTGAGGCAGGAGAGGGCTCCACCAATGCAATCTGAGCCATGCTGCCTGTAGTATGCAAGCATCCTCCTTGAACAGGTTGGCAGTGGCCATGGAGAGCCAAGTCCAGCACCCTCAGCATGTGCTGGGTATATGCTGAGAGCTGCATTCCATCACTCTGGCTGCAGTTTCTCATCACCAACACAAAGTGACAAGGGGGCCAGGGACCTTGACCTCACTCCAGCTGCCTCTTCCTCAAAAGGATCTAGAGCTGTGAGAGACTACACCTAAACTTAATGGGAAGGAAAGGAAGAACACAGCCTTCTGAGACCCCATAGATGGCATGGGTAATACCTAATCCTTCATTGAAAACATATTATCACATTTTTAATAAATGTTCAGTTTTCTTCATAAATACTGTGGCTATAAAGACTGGTCAAATGCTAGAATCCTGTAACGAGTAGCTCACCTCCAGACTTCCCAAATCTTGTTCATCATCTATAAGGAACAAGTCAGGAGTATGATGGAATACTCCCCACTTGCATGGATGAGTGCAGCTCCAACAACACTCAAGAAGCTTGACACCATCCAGGACAAAGCTGCCCAATGATCACAACCACATCCACAATAATCCAATCCCTCCATCACCAACATGCCATGGCAGCAGTGTGTACCATATACGAAAGGCATCCATATCCCATAAATGAATTTTTAAGAAATCAGCTCTGAGCGTGATTGTGATCTTCGGTGCAAAAGCAAGAATGATGCCATCCCCAGCACCACACAATGTTCTAAACCTGTCTTAATGATAGCTATGCCTTCCATAGTGGCCATAACAGGACAAAACTTTGTCAGGATTGAATGGGGGAACTTCAGATGTTGAGAAGACGTCCATCAAATTATAACAATGAGCATATGCGGGCAATATCAGAAAGATAGCAGCAGCCTGATTATATCATCATTCAGCAGTCACACACATGCATTAACATTTAAACGCAGTCCTCAGAACAGAAAGCCAGGAGAATGTATCTATATGAACATTGTATATCATTGCCTTGATTCAGTTGTCTGTTGCTCAAGCCTTTTGGTGCATGTACAATAGGAGATTGTAAATGTGGCAGCAAGGTGTGGACCTCTCCCTCACCCCCAATCTTCAAAGTACCCAAGAAAGTCTTCATTGCAAATAGGGGAATGGTATAGACATTTTATAGCCCAAGGATGAAGTGAGCAGCTTCACATATGGATGATGATTATACTATGGCAACCAACATGAATTTTTCCAGGCCACAAGATATTGCTGGTACCTCACAATCATCACCTGAGTTGATTTGTAAAGTTAAATAATGTGGTCAAGAGCACTTGAGGCCAAGATATAATGGGGGTCAGTGTGTAAAGTCCACACAACATTTTGTTGTAATAGATGTTCTGCAGCTTTGCTGTGTAGGTGTCTGTTTAATGGTATTGCCCCTTTGAAGGGGTTCACATCACAAAAAGGCCCCATCCCTCAGAAAATGAAATACTTACACTGCCAATTCCAGATGTGGTGGCAGACATTTTCTTTTCCATTGTGCACAAATCATTTGGATGAGGATGAAGGCAACAGAGGTCATACTTCTTGGAGAGGGTCACAAGTTCAGCTTCTCCACTGAGGTGATCCCCTATTCTTCACATTCCCTTCTTCCTTGCCTCCCTGTCAAACCCATCAGCTTCTCCAAAATTCCCACTCAGTCCTTAACTGCTCATTTCCCCATGTTACCCCCTGAGTTGCAGCCATACAATGTAGTTAGATCAAACATACTCATGCACAGTTCAACCATCGACACCAGGATAGTCAATAACACACCCTCCCACAGCACCCCTTTCCCTCTCATGGTCTATCATCTCTTACCCTTACATGTTGAGAACCTTCTTTACAATTATTGATTCCTCTGCATCTCAGCATGCTGTCTCCAATGTACACAATTGAAGTTCCCATGATTATAACCACAGCAGTGGTTCCTGATGATATCTCTTCACTTTCAGTGAACAGACCCTCTGGAGTGAACATGGCCACCACCTCTACCAACATGGATAGATAGCTCAGTTGTTGAATAAGTAGACCACTGGCTGATTTCCAAGCAGCTTCCTGAATCACTTATCATGAACGTGCAGACATTGAACTGGACCTGCGGGATTGACCATGGCCCCCTCTCTGGACTGGAGAAATGCAGGCCCCTCACCCTGACTGTCCTAAGTGGCCAAGTGACCAGGCTCAAGTCCTTAGACTGATATTGGTCACTACACTATGCCAGTACACTCAAACTGAAGGGCACCTCCCTTGACCTGACTGAGGAGTATTTGAGACATGACCATTTGGTTGAAATGCATTCAGTGTGTTTGCCACATACATTGTTGGTACATGTTGCAGACATGACAGTGATTTAGCACACTGACACATAGCAATAAGTCCACTTCCTTGACTGATCGCTGCTGAAAACCATGACAAGTCAACTGGCTTTGTTTCTGCACTAAGCAGCAAGGCAACACAGAGAGCTGTGAATATTCAAGCTCTGATTGTGGTGGCTATACGAAAAAAAGCAAAATAAGGCAGAGATCATAGAATGCCTACAGTGTGGAAACAGGCCAATTGGCCCAACAAGTCCACACCACCCCTCTGAAGATCATCCCACCCAAACCCATCCACCTACCGTTTCCCTATATTTTCCATGGCTAATCCACCTAACATACACACCCCTGGACACTATGGGCAATTTAGCATGGCCAATCTACCTAACCTGCACATCTTTGGACTGGGAGAGGAAACCGGAGCACCCAATACAAACCAACGCAGACACGGGGAGAATGTGCAAAATTCACACAAACAGTTGCCCGAGGGTGGAATTAGTCACAGAATCAGACTTTCTTTTCTCAACATTGGGAAGCCCATTTGTTCTGATTTTGTCATATTTTCCTGACTGAGTTGCCCTTGTCCAGTTTGTTCAGGATTTGGGACGATTCCACTGTGTGGGACTCTGATATTGGCCTGTCCCGGCCAAACCACCTATAATAATGCGTTGAGGAGGGAAGACCAATCGAATGAATTTTAAGGAGGTTCTTGGAGAAAGAAAGAAACATGTAGAGGTAGAAGATACTAAGCAATAAATTTCAAGGACTGGGAAGCAAGGAGACAAACAGGGACAAATGCGAATATGGGCCAAAGATCTGGGAATAAGTACAGGCTAAAGTAAGAAACAGCAAGCAGTGACTGTAAAACTAGAAAAAAAAAATTTAAAATAGCGAGATGGAGGCCATGAAGTGACTCCCCTCAGAAAGAGAATTTTTTTAATTTGATGCAATGTGGAACAGGGAGGGAATGTAGGTCAGCAAAGATATGGGATAATGGACGAGTAGGGCATGTTTCAGGAAGGGAACTGTGCTGTCAAATTTTGAATGCGCTGAAGTTTATACAGAGTGCAGGACTGAGGATTGACAGAAGGCGTTGGAATAACTGAGACTCGAAGTGACAATAGTGTGAGTGCAAATGTAGAAGTTGCCAGCTTCTGCATTTGTTATCTTGAGAATTGTTGGTCACAATCTATTACTTACTGGTTTTCCCAACTTCATAGGCCTATGGAAAACAAGATCTCTGAAACTGACAGATTAAGAACATGGAACATAGATAAGTACAGCACAGTACAGGCCCTTCAGCCCATGATGTTGTGCCGAAATATTATCCTACTCTAAGATCAAACTACCCTGCATACCCTACATTTCGTTCTCATCCACGTGCCTGTCCAAGAGTCGCTTGAACGTCTCCACTACCACTGCTGACAGCGCATTCCATGCACCCACCAGTCTCTGTTTAAAGAACCTACCTCTGACATCTCCCCTATACCTTCCTCCAATCACCTTAAAATTATGTCCCCTCATAATAGTCATTTCTGCCCTGGGAAAAAGTCCCTGGCTATCCACTCTATCAATGCCTCTCATAATCATTTTGCAAATATTCACTTACTGTTTAACATAAACCGTAACTGCTGGGTCCATGTGGAGAAAGTGTTGATATGAACTTTATTTGTTGAAAATTATTAAGACATTCTCTCAAATACATCTGTGATATTGTAATACATAGTTATCTTTCAAGTCTAATTCATTTAGTTTATAAGTATAAGGTAGGAATGCACAAGCCATTTACATGAACTACAGTTCCTCATATTTTGCCTCTTTCCCATTTAAACAAATGTCTTTTTCAATATTTATCCAGCATGTTGTTTCAGACCATAATGAAATACAGTGCTTTCAAGCAAATCAGTGTCATTGTACAACACAGATTATAATAGAAGAAACTAAAAGTTATGCTGTAATAATAGAATCTTTAGGATTTGGTGTCAGAATGGAGCAGTGAGGTTAGTTGTTTCAAGTGCTGATAAGAATGCAGTATTAGAAAGGAAATTACCCAAACAATGAAAAGGCTGGGAGTGAACAAGGCATTCCAAAAATAGCCACACTGTTGTCTCTGCCTTTAGTTGTCAGGAGTCCAGATTAAGCAGTGCCAAGCACTGACTGACATCATGGCCCACGTCACTAAATTGCCCAAACAGAATGGGATAGAGTCTAACTGAAGACATTAGCATTGTATAGTGCAGCTCTGTCTCCCCTGGTTATGCCTTGAGAGACTCTACTCAAATGTGTCAGCATTTTGTACATACAAATGCCATTATAAATGTGAAGGATCTTGATTTTACATGGCTTTGGAAAATGGATCCTGAATTAAAATCATTCTAGTTTTGCTTTATAGCTATTAATTTCCTTAGTTTATGCAGCTGCTTTGAAAAGGTATCTTCCTCAGAACACATAAAATGATATCATAAAAATGAAAGGGTCCTTTAAAGAACTCAGAATGGTAAAAGCCAGAACTGTACAGATTTGGCTACTTATCAAATAAGCAGTCTAAGAAAAAAGAATTAACATTGCCTCTCTACTGTCTTCTCTGAGGCTGGTTTAACATTTAATCTTACCTTCACCTTTTTCCCTGCAAAACTCAGCATCCTAAACTGGCAATTCTGAAGGATTGCTACTCCTGGTCATTCTCTATACATCGTAGATAGTGCACAGGCTTGTGCCCATCAGGTGAAGATGAAATGGCTCTGTGTTTCATTGGCCTGTTTCTCACTATCTAAGTTCACAGATCAAAAAAACTTCCCTTTGTAAGAATCAAGAGACCCCCTGATATCAATGAAACCCATGGCAGAAAAGGGAGAAAAATAAAGGGAATTATAAAAGTGAAATGATTTAAATATCACTAACAAAGAAACTGAGGATTTCATTTATATAGCACCTTATACAGCCTGATGATAATTCATAGCACTTTGGAGCCAGAAAAATATACTTTTTTGAAGAGTAGCCATTATTGCAATGCAGAAAACATGGCAGCCAAATTGCGGATAAGATGCTCCTACTAATAGCAAAGAGATAAATGAGCAAATAATCTGCTTTATTGATATTGGCTGAAGGACTAATATTGATCAGAACACAGGGAGAATTCACCAGAGTTCCCTCTAAGCTACAGAGTCATGGGTTGTACAACAATCCGAAATATCCTTCATAGGCCATACACAAGTCAGTCCTGTTGAGGTTGGTTGGCTCGCCGAGCTGGTTTGTTGTTCCGCAGACATGTCGTTACCGTGCTTGGTAACATCCTCAGTAACGAAACGTCTGCGGAACAACAAATCAGCTCGGCGAGCCAACCAACCTCAAAGCCCACAACCCGAGCTATAGATCTACTCCAAAACCTTACAAGTCAGTCCCTTTAAACTACTGTACAGCCTTGCAAGTAAAGAAAGGAGGGACCATACACTTCTATAAAACATGGGTGCACTCAAAGATAATTACAGTAGAGGAAATTTTGGAATTTACCTACTGTACTTCAAAATACTGCCATGGGATCTGTTTGCATCCAACTAGAAACTGAGTGTAACATTACATTTTAAAAAAATAGTACTTCTGACAATGTAGCACTCACTCAGTACTACATTTCAATCTTTTATTAGTCCTCCAGTCCCTGGCTTGGGAATTGAATCCCCAATCTTCTGACTCAGAAGCAAGCCTGCTACCATAGGATCAACACTCAGTTGATGAGGAACTGTGGCGCAATGCAGCCAATAGCAGAAAACCACAGAAAACCAAGAAAACATTGTTGGCTATGCAGAGGTCAAAATATTTACATTCAATGCAAAGCAGTTATCTAATTTATTATGAAGGAATGCTATTCTGGTAATTTTTTTTCAGAATTTGTGGTTTGCAAACACAGATTAGAGACCACTGCACATTAAGAAAATAGCAACCATGCTTTAAAAGGAGTTCACTGAGTGCAAGGTGCTTTGAGATGTCCTGAGGCCATAAAAAGTACTATACAAATGCAAGTTCTGGCAGTCTTTCAAGTGTTCATTTCATTGTCACAAGCTGCATTAAATCAATACAGATTACAAATCTTTTCAAAAATCCTTATCTTTCACACTTTTACTAGACATATTTGTTGCACTTTGCCTTGATACAAATTGAACAATTCTGATGGTCACATAATCGGCTGTTTACTCCCATTCTCTGTGATTTTATACAAACAGCTCTTGTACAAGGAGGGACTCAGCTTCTTAGCTCTGGACTGCAGGTTAAAGCAACACAGCTCTTTCAAATCGACCTCCTGCCAAGTTGTAGACAAGTAAAAAAATCTCGGTAAATTACCCAGAATAAATGTGGACATCTACATTAACAGCCAATCTGTAAAGAATTTCCCTTCCAGAAGAACACACAAAGGTTAGGAGGACAGTAACTGCAGCAGCAAATTTAATATTGATTTTGCACTGGAGCCCAAGCTCTAAAATTAAATATTTTGTGATGAACTTGATGATTCAGTTTGCTGGTCATGAAATAAAGTATTTTCAAAGAGGAATTAACTGTATTTGTACACTATTGAACAGCAACGTGAAAAAGATATTTCCTTAATTATGACTATGTCATAACATTTTGGTATACACTTAATAAAAACCATAGGACTTTTTTTTCTTGTGTGTATGAATTTTGAAAGAGACTTTGCAACAGGATGTGGTTTAGCACTGAGCACCAAGCCTGGCCTACACCAGGTTTCCTGTCAGGCTGTGACTGTTAAAGGCTGGGGCCGTTATCTCTCTGCTGTCAGGCCCAGCTAGCTGTAATGCTTGTCCTTAGTGCCTCACTTCCTTGGTTTCTTACAGCATTTCCTGAGCACAAATTGATAAAACATTGACATGCTTTGGAAGAGGAAAAAAGGCACAGGAAGCTGATGTTTAAACTCTCAATCTTACGGGGCCTAGAAGGAGAAAAGCTCCAATCTTTTTCTACAAATTTGAAGCTGTACTCACTTCAGAGTTTTAAGCTGTTAAATTGTCTCCTGTGAAAGGACAAAGAAGGGATCCTAACAGTTCTTTGCATACATGATGTGGACTCTGCAAAAGTCATTGCTACTGCTACGAACTGACTAAACGTCGTATCAGGATGTGAGTCTGCATTGCCTGTTGGCTGAGGCAGATTCACTGGGATTTTTTTTTGAAACTGGTGGTTGTTTGCAGACAGCTCTTGTGGTAAAGCAATTTAAGGCACAGGTTCCTTAAGTCATCTTGTTCACCCATGAAGAACAAGGGAGCAAAACAGAAAGGAAAACGGAAGGGAGCGAAGGACACTGCGTTTGGTTGTGACCTAGGTGACTACTTACAAAACTCCGGACAGGATGGTAAAGTAAACTCTTATTATGTTTAATGTTACAGTTAAAAGCCGCTTCAAAGGGTGTCTCACTGATCATTGATCATCTCCATCTTTCAAGGTTGTGCTAAACTGAAATCTGCAGCCTTTTAAAAGGAGTATTTACTCCGTCAGTTAAACCTTACTAGCGCTATCTTGGAACTAGGTAAAATTTAAATCAAGCATCAATGGGTCCTTTGTATTTTACAGTCTGATTATAACATCAGATGTGAAAAATCAAAGGAATTTCCATCCAAGTCCTGTACATTTTCAGACTTTGTGGTTAATCTCATTTTTGTGCAATCCGTTGATTTTGAATCAATGCCTCCCTAGGCAGAAAAACGCTCTATCAAATCACTGCTCCTTGTACAAGTCTACAAGTGGCTTGGTGGACCTGCAGTAGCACAACAACAGACTGTTTATTCCACATAATATGTTACACATGACAACAATTCATAAAATAAAATCTAAATGTAAATTAACAAGATACAGTAACTAACACACAATAAATACTAAGTGACAGTGCACTACAGAAGAGAAATTCCTGGGAAAATGCTTTGGCTAATGCTGTTAGCTGAAATTATTTATTAAATCAGGCAGATATTCAGTCTGGACGAGAATGTATCTTTTCCAGTGACAGTGGATAAAAGAGGCGAGGAGGCCGGCATGGAGTATTCAAGTGGCAAGGGTGAGAGGACAAGCAGTTTAGGAGCACTGCCTGGTCCGGAAAATGCTTCACTGTAGGAATTGCTAAATGAAAGTGGGAATTGACTTCAAACTACAAGGCTTAATCTTTGGCTGGTTCCCAAACAGCTGGCAAACAGATTTTTCTTGGTGACTACACAAATCAACAATGTTACAAAGGGGAGGAAAGAATTACATGGCTGGAAATTCTCAGCTGTCGGCAGGTGGAAAAAAAAATTGCTGCATAAACAGGGGTTCAGGTGAGGTTGAAAGTCACTGTTAAGCATGTTACAGGGACTGTCTCCTCAAATGTCTTAGAGTGGGTCGTGTGTTCTGTTTTAGAAATTCTATCCTGTTATCAGCATTAACTCAGCACATTTCCACTGATTGCTAAAGGAACAATACCTCATTTATATATATATGTACACACACAAACACACTCCTCTAACAATATGTACATAATACATATGATTAATTAGCTATTGTTTAAATTGAAATGCTAGTGTTAGTCCTAAAGTTCAAGGAAGAACCAAATCATTCTGCCCCACAGGCTGCAGAATCACCAAGATTACTTATATCATCTCTGTGGCAGCACGAGACTTTACTTCCTGTTCAGTTTGTTGGGAAACAGAGCTTTTCTTTTGAGATTAAGTGGTGCTGTGCTACATAAATTTCATGTCTGACCACTGTTCAAGTTCTGTTGCTCAAAGGTGGTCAGAATGTTAAAGAACTTGAGAAGAATCTATTTTTGTTTGCTCAGTTTAATGAAGATGTAGCCTTGAATATAAGGGATGAACAATGGGAACAATATTATTTGTTTGCGTTAACATACTCCAACTCTGATTCAAAGCATTCATCAGACGGTTGCTGCTTGGCCTGCTGTGTTCATCCAGCCCTGCACCTTGTTGTCTCGGATTCTCCAGCATCTGCAGTTCCTACTATCTCTGATACCATTTTTGAAGGCTTGTTTACAGCTAACTGAGGACGTGTTGCTCATTGATGATTGGAAGGCGTAGGGCAGACTAATGCAATAGTGAATATTTAATTCCAGTTCACTGCATAATGCGGGAGAAGTTCTACACCATCTCTGTCAGTTTTTAGGTATTGAGAAGTTTAGAGCAATCATCTTTAGATCCTGATCTGCCTTGTCAGATTTCCACTGAAAATGTACTGAATGCCATATTAAAAGTAGCTGATTTTTACTTGTGAAGAGGGTCAGAAACAAGCATGAGGCAGTTTATATGTCACTCAGGGCCTGAAGATCATTTACAGAACCCTAGATGAAAATGATTTACAAATATACAGAGCTATTCACTACAGTTTGCTGTTGTGTCCTCACATGGGATGTATGTAGTTCTTTGCCATGTACCTGTTGGATCCTCATCACACACCATAAATGCTGCATTTTTATTAACAGTGCTGATTACTTCTGATTCTCTTTTCAAAATTTTCTGCATTATATCCTCCTGTGTTGCAGTACTTCCATTGAGGATACTGACTTTTGTTGGTGTGTTGAGAGATGCAATCTTGCTTTTGGTCAAAAATTGTCGCTGCCCTATGAAGGGAGCAGATGATCAAAGGCACACCTAGTGTGTTGAATTATCCTCACTTGTACTATCAGGCATTGAAGCACTATGTATATGAATGGAGGTGTTGACCCTGACATATCTGCATAACAGGTGTTGCCCAACAAGAACCATTGGGAATTTGCGTGACATTAAAGGCTCCACATAAATGCAAGTTGTTGTTGTTGCTCTTCTACAACCTCTGAGGCTCCATTCCTTCTGAGTTGCCCTGACAAAGAATTCAATAACAGCGTCCACATAAAAAGCGTCCTGTTTTTTTGCCTGGTGTTCCACTAACGGGTTCACATCACACAGTTTTGGAGGTGTGCCAGTTCAGTTTTTACACATAAGAACAATTCCTTCCTGTAGCACATTTCCCTTGCCATCACATTGCTTTTATAATATTATCCACACAATAATATTATTCCTACTATTTGCTACATCCTCACCAGCATTTCCCTCAGTGAGTACAATGCTTTTGCATAAATTTCCTATTTATCTTCATGCCATTTAACTCCCACTTTACAGTGAAACCCAAATCCTATCTTATGTATTCCCTCTCAACATAAAAATTTCTGAGCGTCAAGAAGCGATATTGTCCAGATCTCTGACGACTTTCCACATCCCATGTGCCCTTTGTATTGTTGAATCAAAACCTACTCATATCTCATCAGTGCAGAGGCTCTAGTGACTGATATCCAACAAAGGTTTTTTGTACATGCTGTCAATCATTTCTCACTCTATAGCTTGGTGAAGGAATTGTTGACACCTCTTACAGTTAAGCTATTATTAATTTGCTTGAGAAATGAAGAACGCTCATTGTTATTAATGTTTTGTGATGGGCTGCGCCTTTTTTATTTTTACCCATGAACTTGCATTCTCCGAAACAATAACTTGTAGACCACATACATCTTCCCATAATTTCTTCAGTGTTCCTTTAGTTCCTCCCATCTTGCTCAAAGTAGAGGGACCAAAGGCCCTAAGATGCTGAGTGACCCAAATCCAAGTTCTATGCTCGTTTTTGCCTCTCTGTCTTTGGGGACACAGCTTGCTGCCCTTCTGATTCTGCAACTCAAGCTCAGTCCTGAGGTTTGGGAGAATGTGCTTGTTGGCATAGAATAACACAAGTTTTACTTCACAGCTAATTTTACTACCATTGTTCGTCTACTCTTAGTAAACTGGGTAATTTAAGATTAAAGGTCATGCCTCCCAAATCCAACAGCCTTGGGACCAGGCCTTTGTCTAATCAGAGACGATGGGAGGTCAAGTATATTCAATGCACAAACATTTTAAGAGTAAAGACCTCACCTTGACTGGTATCAATCACATCCCTAATAGATTATTGATTTTCCAATTGGACTGCAACGTTAGATTTAGGGTAGCAATAAATGGTGGAGTGTGGCATGCAAATGGGAGTTACTAAGTTGTTTTTCCATCTGAATGATGGTTATGTGCTTTCGAAAACCTTTTCTATTTATATTTGTTCTAATAGTTACATCATCATGTAAATAACTAGGAAAGAAGACCGCTAGAAAAGACATACTTGTTTTGAATTCATATTCAAAACGAATTAACTCATTATCAAAGACCAAAGTAGTTAAAAAGGTAACTGAATTTTAATCATTCTTTAATATTCAATCATTGGTCAAACTTAAATTTCCTTTTAAATACAGTGCACCCATCATCTATGCTGTTGTATTCTTTTCCACTCCTATTCAGGGATGTTTCAGTGTAAAAGATGTATGTCCTCATTGGAAAGGGGAAGTACTTTGTACTTAATCATCTTTTTAAGCTTCTGTAATTCTACTAATTAGCTGATTACCCCCTTATGCAGCCTGTGTAAAATAAAATGCTTCGGAAGCTTAAGAATATGTTTCTATTTTGAACAACGGATAGAATTGGGATAACACATCATTATTTTGTAACTGTTACATACGTTGCCAGTCGTGGCTTTATTGTTATGGCCCAGTTCTAAATGGTGGCAAGGCACTTACCCCAGGACGGAAGGGAATATCAACACTAACTGCTCTGAGTCTGTTACATTTTTAGTTGATTGCAGATCACATCAGCACAGAGCGAAAAGTGTAAGATTGGAAAACTAAATTTTTTGAAACAAAATAATTTAATGAGACTTTTTATCGATTTTATTTAGTTTGTGAATGAACAAGAATACTCTACTTTGTACAACTGGTGTGATTCATCTTACAGGAAAGGGTAATGTCAGAGGTAGCAAGCATTATCTAATGCACAGGAGGTTGAGGAGTAACCTTATAGAGGTTTATGAAATCATGACGGGTATAGATAAGATGAATAGGGTAGGGGAGTTCAAAACTAGAGAGCAGAATTTTAAGGTGAGAGGAGAAAGATTTAAAAGGGACCTGAGGGGCAACTTTTCACGCAGGGCAGTTTGTCTGTGGAATGAACTGCCAGAGGAAGTGGTAGATGCAGATAGAGTTAAAACATTTAAAAGGCATTTTTGGATAAGTACATGAACAGGAAAGCTTTGGAAGGATATAGGCTAGACGCAGGCAAGTGGGTCTAGTTTAGTTTTGGGAAATCTGGTTGGCATGGAGGAGTTGGATCACGGGATTTGTTTTTGTGCTGTATGACTCTATGACTTGATAGCTCTAAGGCTTGACAAGAAATAACAAAAAGTGATATAAATACAGATTGATACAATGATCATAGATCTCAGGGAAAACCAGAAGCTGGACTAAGAAGGGTCAGATTAAGGTGGTACAAC